GCAAGTCAGCTTGTGATACATCAGTGATTAGATGATTTTGCTGTAAAATCAATTTTCTGGCACAAAAAAAGATGCCATTTTCACATACCAGGAGTGTGATAGTTTTTAATGTACTGCGTACCACGAAATTCTAAAGGCTGATTTAGGCGTATGAAAGTTCTTCAAATAGATTCTTCACATTATAACATGTATTGCTTTTTTTTTAAAAAAATAATATTAATTAATAGCTTTGTTTATAATAGAAAATATTTTTTAATAATTTTTTTGAGTTTCTTGTTGTGCAAAAACAATTGTACAATAAAAGTACCATAACTATAAAACTTGAAATGAGGAAGTTTTCGCGTAAAGAGTACTCGATTTTCTGAAACTCAGTTTTTACACCAGTTTTAAAAACATACAATTTTTAAACGGAAAAATATAGCTTGACCAGTTACGTTAAGACACAGAAAAATGCATGGTGCGTTAATTTCAAATTACACAGAAAAAAAACCCAATTTTTTTTTCCTCTAAATTTTCTTTTCTTTATCCAAAAAATGACGAAAATGAAATTAAAAAAAGGAAAAAAAAAGGAAAAGAAAAAAAATTCTCTTGATTGAACATGACTTCAAAAAGGTTTGATGTCTTCCAAAAAGCAGTTAAAAATTCGTCGAAATTCGACTGACCTTCTTAAACTTTCAAATGGATAAAAGAACTTCCATCCCTCGACTTCCATAAGTCAAGAGGTCGAGCAGAGAAACGGATGAACCCCTTTATGGGCCCGAGACCCGCCTTTGTCGTGTTCCACCTGCAATCGATTGCTGCTCCACCCCCATTGTCGGCATTAAGAATGAGCCCTGGTGAATGATATTGGAGGTCGCTTTTATCTCCACTACCTACTACAGAACCCAACGACCATAAAGCCTTCAACGAAAAATCACCGGAAATGCTGCATTAATGTTATTTGTTGTGAGTGTTGTTTCGATTATCGTTGGGGGGCTATTTTTATAGATGTATGATTTATGGAAATGGTTGCCGGAAAGTTGCCATGGAATCGACATTGAAAGAGTGCTGGAAAAAACCAACATGGATTTTTTTTCTTCAAACAGCAGTTTTATATAATTCAAACCTTTATAATGCCAGATTTTTTCCCCCTTAAAAATCGAATCGACATTCCGCTTTCAGACGTTTCTCAAAATAATGAACCGATAAAGAAGCAAAGTTGTGCAATGAAAAAATGTTGAGAGCGTGTTTCTGACTTTCTATGAATTCTTATTTAAGTGTCTATTGAATATAATTTCGTATCACTATTTCTCTTGTTCTCTTTTAATTTCGAGGAGAATCTCGTCTGCAGAAAAAAGCAGACTGTTCAAATTGAAAAACTATCATAAAATGATATTGATAGAAAATATTGATTGCTTTAAAAATTATTTGTTGAAAAAACATATTGATTATTTTTTCATATCTTAAATTTTTTTTAAGTGGATTTTTTTTTTGTTTTTTTTTTGTTGCTGTTGATGAAAGTGTTCTAAGAGAAAAAAAATGAAGTCTATGAATTTAGCACATTTGAATACTTAACAGACAATAAACTCTTAAGAAAAATTTCTGAGTAGAAATCAGGAAACGTATTCAGTCTTTAGGAACAGCTCACCCGTAATATGATATGGGTGTTGCAACACTCTCAAGTCTCATAGTAGTTTCAACACAAAGGTAATTGTTTAATTGTGTGAGCGAAAAATGGAATGCCAAATATAATTTAATTCTTGTTCCAACCAGCCATTGCCTCACTTGTTTAGCAAAAAACAAGCTACCAAGTAAATAAATAAACAACAGTTTTAGTTTAAGAACTAAACCCAACTTTAGGTTAGTTCAGGCTTTTTCCGAACTTATAGCTGCAAGCTTTCCTGCATAAAAAATTCCAGTTTCTCCCATGTCATTCAATTAGAAAGTGCTACTGCGTAGTAGGGGAATTTCCGTACAATTTTACCCAGAGGCTCAACGCTTGAAGGGCTTCCAGAACTATAATAGGGCAATCGGAATTGGGCTTACTTCGATGTGAAAGAATTGAGATCACTACTTATAATTTTAACAACAATAATCACAAATATTTTTTCAATGAATTACCATCAGCTGGCATAGTGAGATTCTTTGCTTCCCAGTTGCTATGTCCGGCTTCATTCACTGCTGCCAGTTGAAAACCATAAGTTACTGCTGGTGCTAAATATCTTACGGTATAGCTGGTAGCATTTGAAGGAATTTTATCGTCCATATCCAACCAATCAGCTCCTCCGGTGCTATAGTTTTTCATCTGCAAGTGGTAACGTTTTATTGGTAAATTTCCTTTGTATTCTAAGCTCCAGCGGAGTAAAGCGGTCCTTGAATCCAGAGCTTCAACTGAATCCACAGATATCTCAGCTGGCTCTGAAAATAGAAAAAAAAACATATTAAAACAAAGAAGAGAGCCGTAGTGGCTCATGGGATAGAGCATTCAACTTCCAATGAGAAAAACCGGGTTAGAATCCCAGCGATGGCTGGTCAATACGAATTCCGCACCTAGCTCTCAGCGATCACAGTGTTGACGTAAAATATATTCTCAGTGGTGAACGGATCATGGGTTCGAAACCCCTAGCCGTCAGGCATTGGAACTCTAACCCATGATCGACGAGCTCTGACCCTGTCACTATCGACCAGCTCTAATTCTAACCCTGCAAATGAGGGTTAGTTCCGTCAAAAAGTCCTCCACGAAAGCAAATTTCCCTCAAGGCTTGATCTAGAAGTTACCTTGTCTTCTAGATTGGGTTCTAATTGCAAGGTTACTGAGTTGAACATTAGTAGTAGTAAACTCAAAATTAGGTCGGCTGTTCAACGACGGAATATAAAATAAAACAAAGAAGAATAACTTATAGAAGAAAAGTATTGCTTTAAAAGGACAAATAGCACTTTTGTTTTGTTAACCAGTTATTTAAAGAAAAGCTCTTTTATCAATGCATGCTGGTTGCCTCCAAAAGAAGACCTACATTGCATTCTGCAAAAATACTGGTTTAAATTACGGTAAAAAGTATTGGCACTCAGGGTTCCGTTACTTAATACCGTTACTTAATAATTTTACAGTGCATTCATGTTTCTTTTATTTCATTTTTATGTTTCAATTTAAGTTAAATTCTCTTATTTTCCTAAAATTATCTTTTTATTTAGGTGTTATTTGTTTTGCCTTTTAAATATATCTATAGGTGAATTTTCTCGAACTTGCATGGGGCATGGAGCCAGAATTTCTGCTTTAAAAAATTCTCCATGTCAAAATGTCATATGGACAATATTTGGCTCGAGCAAAATTTTACCAGCATTACATTTCATTACAAGAGATTGTTGCGCTGAATAATGCTGAGATGATAACATGTTATAAGTTTTAACAGAATTTTATTAACATAATTTCTTTTTTAATAAGCATCAAAAATTAAACATAAATTGTAGAACAGGAAATTTGAAAACACAGTGAATTATAAAGTCTATTGTTGACTGTTACTACAAGGGTTATTTGTAGTAGTACTTTGGGACATCGATAATTTATAAGAACCTAATGGCAGCAATAGAATTATTTTAAGATCTATTTTCGACTTAAATCAATGGAGAAAATCAGCGAAAAGAGGCAACCGAGACATTGAATTATTGTCTTGTTGTCTTGGTAATGAGAAAATAATGATAGTTTATTTAAATTGACCCTAATTGTCAAACTATTAAAGGCATATGAGTTATAATTTGCGGCAAGTCAGCTTGTGTTTGCATCTTGGGATAGGTCTTTACGATACAACATTAGTATTTTTTGATAATTCCGATATATTTTGATATTTGGGTGTGTGTTCTTCTTTATTACAATCCATAAAGGCTGGAAATGTCAAGTACCATAAGTGTGTTGCTGTTTAATCTGTATTTAATTTTATATATCATTAACTTTAATGATTTACATGTTAGGAAATTTTGTTATGATAGGAACCTTGAGGGGTGAATCATTTTTTTTTCTTAAAGTAACTGGCTTCTGAAACTTAGCTTAAGAGTTTTTTTATTAAAGTTTTCAAAAAAGTGAAATTTTTATTTCGCATCCCTTTCATCATTAAGTGTAAGGGAATATTGACTAATATGACAACTTGAATATTTACTCTAGAAACAGCTTTAGGCAAAGATTGTGCTCCGAATAACAGATACTCTTCAAACATTAATTTCAAAGAGTATTTTTCCTGTTTCTGGAGACATCAATGAATACTAATAAGCAAATTTTAAATTTATTCCAAAAATAACGAGTTTAATTTTAACACTCCCCGTATTTATAATTAAGTTATTAGGCAAATTTTAAGATTTCTTTGCTCATGAAGCATATTTGTGTCTAATTAGAGTGAAAAACTTGAAAAAATTATCTTCTTATCATGATTTCGAATAAAGGGAGCACAATACTTTTTTTCAACTAACCCATTTGTATCTAGCGTCTTTGAAAAAACGTTTTTTTTAAGAAGGAAAAAAATGGTAGTTATTAGAGTTCATATTATAAGAAAAACACTGTACCGTCTATCTTAATATAATTGTAATTTGAGTATTTTGTACTTGAATCCGAAGCCAAAAGACTTTGTTTTTCGAATGATATTTTTGAAGTTTGATTGATAATACAAAGATATATCTACAAACTAATAAATTCATGAAGCATAGACTATGCATTATATATCAGCATATTTAACCGAAGATAATCAGCTGATGCTTTATGTTTTTATTTAATTTAATGATGATAGAAAAATAAGTGAGTTAAGAGATTTTGATATATTTTTGCATCCAAATATAATTTCGAATTTTAAAATATATTTTATTTTATAACCGGTGTTGAGTAGTCAACCTAATTCTGAGTTTACGACTTTGCTTTTTGAATGATATTTTTGAGGTTTGATTGATAATACAAAGAAATATCTACAAACTAATAAATTCATGAAACATAAATGATGCATTATACATCAGCATCTTTAACCGAAGATAATCAGTTAACGTTTCATGTCTTTATTTAATTTAATGATGATTGAAAAATAAGTGAGTTAAATGATTTGCATATTTTTACTTCCAAACATAATTTCTAATTTCAAAATATATTTTATTTTATAACCGGTGTTGAGTAGTCAACTTAATTCTGAGTTTACGACTATTTCTGAGTTTACGACTTCGGTTTTTTAATGGTATTTCTGAAGTTTGATTGATAATACAAAGAAATATCTACAAACTAATAAATTCACGAAACATAAACTATGCATTATATATCATCATCTTTGACCGAAGATAATCAGCTGATGTCTTATGTTTTTATTTAATTTAATGTTGATGGAAAAACAAGTGAGTAAAGATATTTGCGTATTTTTTCATCCAAATATAATTTTGAATTTCAAAATATATTTATTTCATAACCGGTGTTGAGTAGTCAACCTAATTCTGAGTTTACGACTATTTCTGAGTTTACGACTTCGGTTTTTTAATGGTATTTTTGAAGTTTGATTGATAATACAAAGAAATATCTACAAACTAATAAATTCACGAAACATAAACTATGCATTATATATCATCATCTTTGACCGAAGATAATCAGCTGATGTCTTATGTTTTGATTTAATTTAATGTTGATCGAAAAATAAGTGAGTAAAGAGATTTGCGTATTTTTTCATCCAAATATAATTTTGAATTTCAAAATATATTTTATTTTATAACCGGTGTTGAGTAGTCAACCTAATTCTGAGTTTACGAAAATTTATCAGTTTTCAAATCCATAGCCTTGTAATTATGAACTCAACCTAGATGACAAGGGAACTCCTGGATCCAAGCATTGAGAAAAACTGGACTTCGTGGAGGACATTTTGATGGAACTAACCAGCATTTGCATTACATGGAGAGGAAAACCACGACTACATCCCACGATTAACTCGACGGTAATGGGATCCTAACTCGTGATCCATCTACCACTGAGAATGTTTTACGCTAGCTCTGTGGTTGGTGTGAGCCGGGGTCAAAGTTCGTATCAGCTAGCTACCACTGGGATTCGAACCTGGGTCACCTAATTGGGTGGAGAACGCTCTATCACCTGAGTCCTCTCAAAATCAAAATATAAACAAAATCAGCCCAAAAGAAATAAAAATAAAATAATCGCAATTTTTAACTTTTTTCTTATAAATTATTTAACTGGTTTTGCCAGTTAATGTGGTATGGCTAATTTGAATGAATCTTAGAATGAATCATAGTCAATTTAAAAGAAAACATTCAACATTTTGATCATGCACGTTCTATAGCGCTCTAAGGAGGAACATAAAACAGAAAGAAAGAAAACTCTTCAAACGCAGAAAAATCTAAAAAAAGATAAGTATGTAAAAAATATAATAATTGTTTATAGGCATTGGTTTATATAACATGTGTTCTCTTAAGTAAGGAACTCAAAATATTAAAGCAATTGAAAATAAGAATAATACTGTTGTTTTTATGTTTATTTTATTTTATTTGTGTCTTGCAGTCGGTTGTATTATTTAACTATTGTATTTTTTGTTTCATTTCAGGTAAGCTTTCGTTTTTACTTTTCTTTTGTATTTGTCTTGTTTTTATTCTAGTGTATATGCTTCTGTATTTTAAATTGTATTTTATATAGTATTCTTCTGTGTTTTATTGTATATTATGCATTCTTTTCCTAGACTTTGGCAATTTAAGGTACAGAGAAAGCAATTTTAGACTTTTGTCTTGCTTTCCCGATAGAAAAAGTTTTGCTTTCATGACATCTGAAGTTGGTGCCCCCTGAAGACGTCAACTTTGGTTGTCATATTTTCTAATATTTTCCAGTTTTTTTCATTTTTTCATTGTCTCATGGTTTTCTTTGATTAAAGGAATACACATGAAGTTAAGAGAAGAAAAACATATAGGTGAACAGTAAATTGAATAAACATATCTTTAAAAATTCTGATAATTAATAAAAAAATATTTTAAATGATTTACTTCCAGCTTTTAATGTAAGAAAAAAAAGATGAAATTTTAGGATAAAAAATTTGAAATGCATAACATTTGGTAAATTGCCTTACGCGCTAAGCACTGAATAAATATTTATTTCAAGTTTTCCGTTTAATATATTTTTATTGGACATGTATCATATTTCAGAGTGTCAAATTTATTGTTGAAATAACAGATTTTACGTGAATGGCACAAATTTATCTGAAAGATATAGAATACTTTTATTAATTTGTCATTCAATTTAGTACCAAAACCTTACATTATCTCCGGTAACCCAGTCAATGCCTGAAAAATATGAAAATAAATCGGTGGATGATGATTCATCTATTTTCCATAAATTGTATTTGATTACTTTCCATATGCAATCATATACGATAAATGGGAAACTTTTATTGAAACAAAGACTTTCGTAG